GTCGCTTCACTGGCCCAAGTTAGTATTATCATTGCGCTCTTCCCGGGTGAGGCAGTTGCTCGCTGCCCATTGGACGGCTGCTTATGGCAGCTCAGGGCAGCTCATGAAAACTCATGCCTGCTGCCAGCCGCTCACGCTGGCTGTCAGCCACTCACGGTAGCTTACGGCAGCCCACTGCAGCCCCACTGCAGCCTACGCCGTCGCCGGTGACTCAGGGCAGCCCAGCTCCAGGTTGAGCTGTTGTTCACCATCTTAGCTGTAGAGGGCAGTGTCACTGGCCTTCATGTGGGATCCGAACCAAGGCCCTGCTGCTCAGAGCTGGATCCCAAGCCAACTCCTAACCAACACACCTGTCGGCTGGCCCTACGACTGGAAGGTTTTTCCCTCTACTCCATCTGAGAAAATGCTATCAGATAAATGCAGATTAGGCATCATCTCTGGAAACCCTTCCCTGAGCCTCCTCGAGTCGGGGTAGGTGCCTTCCTCTGAGCTTCCATAGCCTCTGTGGCTTCTGGGGGTGCATCTGTCTCTCCATTGCTTACCTCAGGGCTTGGCGCATCATAGTAGGTACTCAGTGTTTTAGAGAGCAGGGACCCACATCAAATCTTTCCACCCCAAATTCCATCTTCCCCACCACATTACATAGCCTCATTTTGCCTTCCAAAACAATTGCCATGTTTTGTTATTTTTCCAGTTCCCCTTGACTGCATCGTGCTATTATTTGTACTGTGTCCAAATGGCAGGTTCAGTCCCTCACTCCCCTGGTGGGCAGGGCCACAGCCACACCTTCGCAGGGATCTTCTGGTTTGGGGGGAGGGAATACTTTGGGATAGGTCCACATCCCCTGGCCACCAGCAGCCATGTCAGCCCTCCATTTAATAGCGTCACTTGTCCATCACTGGCAGGAGACTAGGTGAGGGTGTGGGCAGGCATGGCCTTCACCCTGTCTGACCTCTTGATTTTGCCTCTGTCCCCACCTAGGACTGGAGCCAACAGTGGTGATCCACAGTGGGACTCTCAGCACTCCTGGCACTCCTCAAGTCAACATCCTTTGGTGCAGCTGTTCCTCCTAATGTCAGATGCCACCTGGCAGGGCACTTCCACCCTGTCCATTTTCATTTCTGTTTTTCTGTGTCTCCAGCACTTTCTCTTTCAGAGCCATCTATCAACCTTATTCAGCATTTCCACAGCATTTTCTGCAAGAACAGTTTCCTTGCCTAATTCACATTCTGAATCCAAAGGAGAACCAGTCCTATTTATTCTTATTCCGTAGGCACTTTACCTCTGCTGGCCTCAGGCTTCTCATCTGAGAAATGGGAAGATGCCTTCCTCATAGGGCTG